GTACAGAGAACTGTTAACACTACGATACGTTTAAAATTATCAAGAGGATTAAACCTCTGGCCTTGAAGGCAACCAGCAACCGAGTAAAACTGCTATGGCAAGCGGCCTGCTCCTAATCACTCCTTCCTCTCTCTTGCTTGGCAAAAAGCCACAACACTTAATGTGGCACAACTTAACACATGTTTGTTAGCAAGACAAATTTGCATAAATAAGTTAAAAGCTTTTAATTCTGGCCGGAAGTAGAAAATAAGAAGTGATAGTAAAGATTTAAAATAAAATAAACGTTAGTAAAACTTAGGATCCTTACAAGGTTAGGTGTGATCTTCATAAGTTGCTCCTGGTGTCAGTTGTGTATAAAAGCATGCTATTATTTTATTCAGAATACCGGCATACTAACAATTTATAATAATTTTTTATTTTATTTGCAATTATTCCACAGTGCCATTGTGTTGCATTTAAATCTTTTTTTTCAGTGGAGTGCGTGTGTGTTATGATTTAAGATTAATAAAAAATCTGATCTGATTTTTCAGATAATTATGTTATGAAAGATTCTTTGTTTTCACTTTTCTTCTTCTTGTCAGTAAGAATTGGTGTAAGGGGAAATGAAAATTAAAAGAAAGCGTTCAGTTTAAAGAAAGTAATAATGCATTACTGAAAAAAATTAAGATCTGTATATCGCAGTATCAAGTATCATACTTTGCTGAACCCTTTGCGGCACAGTGCGTTCGGTCTGGACACACCTAAAAATTTCCTTCTGTGCGCACAGAAAAATGAATGAAAAAGGATTTATAAGTTACTATAGGTTACTCTGAACCTTCTTTATTTATAGTAGATGGCAGCTCAACACAAACCTGTCCATATATTTTAGCCATGTTTAGTTTTTTAAGACCCTCATTTTTCAAAGAAATCTTCCAGATTTTTTAGGGTGTAGGGTTTCTATTTATTTTAACTAACATTTATTTTAAGTTTAAGCTATCTTTCCTGTTAAGCCTTTACTTTCCCCTAGAATTGCCAATGCCAGAGTATGTAAATTTTAGTAGAACGCGCAGAGTATTCAAATTTTTAGCAGAAGTAATTTGAGTTAAATAGAAGGGAAACGAGATTTGTAAATGTGCTTCTTGATTCACGAGCGTGAAGGTTGCTTGGTAGAAATTTAAGAACCGCGCGTTTCGGCCTGTGTGCCTACTTCGGCAGTTAGTTGAATGCAACTTCTTAATCAGAAAGTTTGCTGAATCTCAGCTGTATCTTAGAACGCGGTTAAGATAGTTACAATTATAGAGCCTCGTAGATAGTGACTTCGTTAGTTATGCATCCTGTTATTTATTTTTAGTTGCACTTTTCTATTTTTGTTACACCGCCGGGTCGGCGTAGTTTGTGAGCGTCAAGTGAACGCAACTGTAATTTCTAAAGTGAAATAAAAAGGAATTAAACCCTTCTTACGATTTTGTGTAATTTCCAGTTCATAACAGTCACTACTACTGTTGCGGACAAGTTGGGGCCATGCAACATCACAAGGGTATAAAAGAAATTGTTTGAAAAGAAATTTCTATGTTATTTTTTTGGCTGTATGCTAATCTCCTTATTGTATATTAGTTTTAAATTTTTACCTTGAAATCTTGCCTAAAATCAAACGGCGAACCCTAGGTGTGCCCAGACCGGACTCACCGATAATCTAGGACAGCTGAGATTCTGTTTTATTTTTTTCTCCGCATCTAATCGGTCAGTTCATTGAGAATTGTGCTCGTTTCAGCACTCTTTTCGAAGCTCTGTTCAATCAGTGGGCCGCTTTGGGCACAGCCACAGAATTAAAATGATAAGTGCTATCTTCATAAAATTTTACTTGTGTACTCCTGTAGGCCTAATTAGACTGCCTACCTTTTTTTTTTTTTTTTTTCAAAACTCCGACTTTAAAAGGTAGCGTTCCGTAAAGGGTTAATGCTGAGCAAGAACGACAGAAGTTATTTTTTAGCTTTTGCAAATAATAATATGAAGTATAAGTGTGTACATTAAAAGAAGTCAAAGTACAAAATGAGAGGATAATTTTGGAATTGAAAAATTAAAAAATCCCTTTTATTCATGACATTTTGGGAAACTTAAGTGTTTCAGGGGAATCTCTAATGTTTGGAGGGTTAAAAAAATGCGAAATTTTGCTAGTGCACTTGACACTGCCCGTTTTAGTCATAAACTGCTTTGATACTCTTAAAAAGTATATATATATCTGGTTTTCTCAACATGGCTGTTGAATATTTTATAATAATCAGGAGAAACTAGAATGGAAATTTGAATAGGGATGCAAGATGTAGTGAAAGTATTTAGTTTTATTATTCTCATAAAATAAAAGCAGAGAAAAACAATCTTGCAGTTTTCTTGTAAATCTTGAAGGAAAATTTAGTCTTAAAAGGCAGAATTGATATTGATAGAATAGCTGTAGTGATTATCGGGAAAATTTGGATTTTTATGTAAGGATTTTACGAACGGTAACTAATATTCAATTTATTAATTAGTTAAATATATATTTTTTAAATGTGGAACTTTGACTGCCGTTTTTAATATTTTCATAAATTATTTATATTTATTAATATGAAATTAACTTACGAATAATAATAAGAAGAAGGAAAATAATTGTCAGAAAATTTTCGAAAAAAAGGGGGAAATTGTATTTCAGAAAATTACGTACAAGTCATTTAACTAACCAGTTTCTATTCTAATATTAAGTAAATTATAATTTCTGAAAAGCATTTAGATATTTAAAGTTTGCCTGAGATATTTCTTGAAAAATAACGCAAAAATATCTTAAACTTTTAAGATAATTGCTAAAAAGTAAGATAACTCCTTAGCTTTAATCATAGAAAATGTAAAAATTTCTTTTATTTTGAAAAGGAGGCATTTCTTTGTTTTTATAATTTCTGTTAATGGGAAATAGATCGCATGGAGGAGAAAATAAACTCAAAGAAAGTGGAAAAAAGAAAACAGTAAATAAGGTTTCGGAATACGTATAGAGGTGTAAAATATTCTTTCTAAATATGAAATTAAGTACATTATGTTTTTGTCTGGTGATTTCATTTTTATACCCATTTGCGGTTTACTGTTAATTTTAAATATCATTAGTTATAATAAATTTAACTATGTACCTAGAAGGAAGCTAATAAACCAGTAAAACAAGCAAGTATAAATATATAAGAATTTATGAAAAAGTGTATTAAAAGTGTAAAGAGAAATATAACGGCGATATACTTTTCTTTAATTAAATAAAACCAAAGAAAGTAATAAAAATTCTATAATTTATCATAAATCAGCCGGAGAAATACTGCGTTACGAAATATAAATGTGAAATATTGAAAGACCCAGAATTTGTTTGTGACATACGCACTCAGTAGCCAGGAATGTTGTTGCATAATAAGGTGCTGTTTGCTTAACGTAAGTCAGAAAGATTAAAAAAAAAAAAAAAAAAAAATCAGAGTTACCCAAGCCATTATAAGCCTCTCTCACCAGTCTGTGGAAGCACAAAATGAACTCCAAGTCAACGACAGAAAACTTTCAACAACTCTCTCGAAACAACTTTCATAAAACGAAAACATTAACAAAGCGTTGCTGCTAAATTGAAAGCAAAAGTAATCCAAGCCTAGACCCACCGCATCTAAAAATATAAACATTTTTTACCAAGGGAAACTGGAACTAGCAGACAGAAGCATTTTGTCGGAACAAGGTACTGTTGTCTTTTAAAAAAACGTGCTGCAAAGCACATTTTTCAAATAAAAGAAATACATATACATATTTATAATATGTTTAGATACTTTTTTAACGAGATGGAAACTGTTTTAAGTTCCTCAGCTTATAAATAAATGATCTCACTTTTCAGATGCTGCAGTACATTTTATTAAAGAAAGTAATAATTTTAAAATGCTGCACATAATAAAAGCTAAATAAAGAGTCTAATATCTAGCTGCGATATACAAATCGTTGGGGCATCTTCCATTAACAGTAATAAATTTTGCAAATGTTCATAAAAATATTTATGAAATATAATATAAAATATTTTAAATTATTGCTTTGAAATATACCATAATAAATAAAATAAATGTTATTACAAAATGCGTGTAGATCTTAAAAGCGAAGTTTGTTAAGTAGTTACAGACTGGTTAAATTTGAAGGTTTAAAGATCTTATGTTTCGCCGAATGGCAGTAGCCTATATGAATTGCCTGTTTGCAAGCCACGTGGAAGATAAGTTAAAAATACTGTGAATAACAAAGCGTATGATAAATATTCAGTGACGTAACGTAACGTATCATACTTAACGGCTCAAAAAACTTGGGAAATCTCCACTAAAGACTAATATCAGAATCTGAATATCTACATAAAATTTTTAAAATTAGTTAATCAGAATTTTAAAATCAGAATTTTCAGATTTATTAATTTTTTTATACTGTGGTCCATAGTTTCGAAAAGGCAACATGGGTATATGGAACTGTCTTGTACTATGAATTTCACGGGCATCAAGTCTGTTTTATGCATTAATGCATGCCTCCTTATGACAAATGGTAAAGCCATTTGCCTCTCATTAAACTTTTTATATTTTGGTCCGTAGTACAGCAACAGTTGTCTACTATCATCTTTTCTTCTTTTTTAAACAAATAATTAACAGAAACTGAGCGAAGAATTTTGAGAATTGCGTCGGGAAACGAAGAATTAGTTGCATTTTATTTTTTACGTTTTTGCTGCCTAAGTGGTTTATAAGTAATTTCTCCCGCCTTCTTACCATGCCTTCATAGTGAATGGTAGAACATTCGGCGCATATTCGAGAGGTCCGATGTTCGGGTACCGCCAGGGCATTGTTCTTTTTTCACGTATCCCGATTTAAAAAAATCCTAATATCTCTATAGTGGCGCCCGAATTAAAAAAAGGATGTGGATGATGATTCTCCACCGCCAGGATTTGCCTAATCCCCAATCGCCCGTTAGAAGCGGGAGTATATAAGATATTTTTCTCGCCTTCTTAACATGCCTTCATAGTGTAATGGTCAGCACACTCGGCGAGTATTCGAGAGGTCCGAGGTTCGATTCCTGGCGAGGGCATTGCTCATTTTTCACCTCTCCCGATTTAAAAAAAAAAAAAAAAAAAAAAAAAAAAAAAAAAATTATCTCTACAGGTTTAGTTTATTAATCTAAACAACTTATTTTCGTTTGTTTATCTGGATTCGAAGTATTCTTTTATTATCTTGTTTTGAATAAAATAAAACAGTTTTTATTCTTGCTGTTGCTGTAACAATTTATGCTACTTATTTTTATTTTACTAATTTTTGTATTATTAATTTATTGCTTTTTTACTTATTAATTTTAATTTTATTATCATTTTGTTGACAATTTCATTTTACTGTTAATATTCTACATATGACAAAGACTTTATTTAGGTAATTCATCTTATTCTAATAAGAAAACAGGTATGAATGTGATTTAATCTATCCTGTTAATAGTCAATAAATTTACATGCATTTTTGAAGAAGATAGTTCTAGTTCACATTTTATTTCTCAAATGAACCAAGCAAACTGAATGAGCCGGTTGCATGGGTTTTCGCCAATTTTTTCATGTGAAATACGGTTCATTTAAGATATGATTTCGTGTGAAATAGATGCTGATTCAGTTTGCTTTCCAAAGTCCTCTACCAAGGCATCATTTCCTTTTAGGCGTATAGCACTTGCTTACTGTAATCAGTTAACCTTTGATAATCAAGGGATTAAATGTTTTCCTTTTTTTTATGTATTTCTTATTGCCTTCCGCCAGAATAACTGTAAATTCAGGTTTGTATTCTGAGTTGTGATGAAGACATGCTGCTGAACATCAAGTTTTTAAAAAATTATATTAATGAATGGAAGTTAGAATTATATTTATTCGAAAATTGATTGCACTATTTGCGTATTAATATACCGTTAAATATTACATTGCGTGTAAAATGAAGAAATGCAAACAATACAATTTTTAATTCACCAGATTTAAGATTTGAAATGCTTAATATTGCAGGTTTAATACATTATCGTATGGAATTTTGAAGGAAGCCCAGAAGTAAAAATATGCATCTATAAAATAAGCCGTCTTTAAATGAACAGCCTTAAACTTAAATGTAAACTTCGAAGTAGAAAACTCGCGTTTGCGTGATATTAATGCCTAAAACGTTAAAATAAACTTCGTTAAATTCAGCTGTAAACAACAAATGCTCAGTCACTCCGGCTTGAATGCAATGCGGACTCGGCTTGCAGATAGCGAAAAATTAGTTAATTGCGGGAGATTAGGAGAGAGAAAATTTTCTCTTTGCCCCGGAAAATACATTATTTCATTAATGATGCTGGTATATGGATAACATGCAGAGGTAGAATTAAAGACTTAACAACACGTAACTCGTTTTGATTTTAATTTCTAATTATAAATTAAATCGCTAATGCAATGCACAGCTGTATATTTAACGTAATTAACAAATATTTTATTATACGAATGAGATAAAAAAATAATAATTCCTTTTGCAGAATTTCAAATTTATAGGCATGTGTCGTTGTGTATCGCACTCCCTAAGAAGACGCCTTTGCTAACGATCCTCTTCAGTTAATTGTTGTACATACTGCATTTTGGTTATAATGATAGAACTGATTACAATCATTTTTTAGCTTTCTCTTAGGAGAAAAATGAAGCTTATTAGTAAGCGATACTAAACCATAAATCCTATAGTAGGGAAAATACGTAAAGCAATCACGTAGCGACAGATGCAATACCGTGCGGTATATAACAGCGCTTCATCCATCTTAGATGTCAGCTTAACGACCAAATTGAGAGATGTAATGTAGCATTCCGTAATATTCTTTATGTGCTCGTTAGAGATAGATCCAGTGAAAGGAAAGCTAACAAGAAACATCAGCATAATTTGAAAGGAACTTGCTTAGATGTTTCTGCAATAAAGCACCAAGTATACCGGATAAATGGGATGCGACCCCATCCAGATGTTCGCCTCACTTCTTTTTCTGTAGATGAGCTATTTATTAACTGTGGAGACACGGACGGAATTCTTACATGTTTGTTTATTATATTTTATTTCAAAAAAGAGCTATACATTTTGAGAAACAAAAAATACCTTGAAATCTCTTATGGAGACTGTCACCTGTAGATGACCAGCTCAATTAGTGATTAGTATTTCTGAAAATATAAATAAAAATAGGTACTGTACATTGTTGTTAATTATGCTCGGTAATCACCTCCATAGAAAACCCAAATCATCTTGAACAGTGGAGTTTCATGTTATAGAGGATGTGCAATGTTTTATTGCCGAATAACACACACATATATTTGATTTAGGCTATATTCAGTCTTAAAAGATCGTATGGTATAGACACTGATAGAACCTGCATTTTCTTTATTATATTTCATTCCAAGAAAAGATTATCCATTTTGGATTTTAAAAAGTGCTGAAATGTTTTGTGTAATCGCCTTCTGTAGAAGACCAGCTTTGAAGTGGCTAGTATTTCTAAAATAATAATTGGTACTGAACATAATTGATAATTATAATCTCTCAGCTTCTCTTCTTCACAAAAAACGAAAATCTTCTCCAACTGTATAATCTCGCTTAAGGAGGACTCTACTGCTGAGTGATACAAACATTTGATCTAGACTGTTTTCATATCAGGAGGATTAGTCACAGGAAAACAAATACGAAATACACTTTTTTCGGTAAAAATTAAATAATCATATTATTATCTCCCACCAAAGGACGCTTCATAATGGAGTTTATGTTTTTGATCCAAAATTTCGATAGCGAGTTTGCAGTGAATAAGCACAAATTAGGGTTCCCGCAACAGATTTTTAGTATTTTTACAATGCTGTCTGTCTGTGTATGTATATGTCTGTGTGTATGTGTGTAACAAATTTGTCGTCCAAGATAAACTTATATCAAACTTCCAAAAATTTCTATTTAGGAATTATTAATTTAGGAAAACCAGTTTTTACACGTAGTTATACCTAGCGAAATATAAACCAAAATTTCTTATTACTGACCTTCCTATTTTTCGTAACAGCAAATTAGATTTTGTTTACAAATGATCAATCTTAAGTCATATTTTAATTAAAACTCGTTGCTATTAAAACATGAAATCGGCGGACGGTCATGCGTTATTCACATTAGATTTTTTTTAAAAAAATTGTTCTCTGTTTCAACTGAAACGAAACAGTCAAATAAATTTTTGTTCATGAATTAATTGGCTAGGCTTACTTGCTGCCTTTAGTACTCATTAAACAGTAATAGTAAGTAGAACTAACGTTTTTATTTACTGCTTGTAATTAGAAACATTAATTCTATATATAATATGTCCAGGGTTCTCTAGACCAGTCTTTTCAAAGTGGCATGCCGGGCATATGGCAAGTGAAGCCATTTTTCATTCCCCGCGTATATATTTCAGTCATGCATTTATTGTTAATACGGTACTAATAATTTTAGAAACTAAAAATATGAATTGAGCATATGTGGGAACTGCTTTTGAAGAAGAAAGAGGTGGATTGAATTGGGGATTTTGTCGCTCGGCGATTGCATGCCGAGCTACGTGATTTTGATTTGGTAATTCTTGTTGATTTAAATAGCCATTTAAATATTGTCAATGAAAATATTCAAAGAAAGAATAAATTTATCATTAATGTATTTGCTTGTATTAAAGCTTTCGAAGTTAAATTGCAATTATGGGCAACACAACTGTAATCAAAACATTTCGCACGCTTCCTTCGTTTTTAAATCATGTCCTATAATTTCAAATGAACAATCTCAAGAATGTAAGAGAAAAATAGCCTTATTATTATTATGAAAAGACTATAAAGAAAACTTAATGATTTGCAGCCCGATTTGGCATAGTTATCATTAAAAACGAACGCGTATAACCACCAGAAAATCAGAAAAATAGAGATTTAACGTGTGATAAGTTTTAAAGTGTGTTATAAATTTTATTTGACGATAAAATTTTGACCAGTTTGTATTTGTACTTGTCAAACGATAAATATCCTCAGTTTCGAAATTTTGCAATAAGAATAATAATTAATTTTGGAGGAGATGTGAACGGTTTTTTTTTCACAGATGAAAAAAAAAAAAAAAAAAAAAAAAGAAAAGAAATCTAAGAAAAGAACTCGATTGATTAATAAGGGAATATACAGTTTCTATTGAAAATAGTTTCTATTTATTTTTCTCCCAGGCTGCAAATTTTATAAGAATTTAAGCCATCACGTATCAAGATGTAGCAGCAAGTAAAGAAGTTCATAATTATTCGAAAACAAATGTATGTATTTCTTATGTATGCAACGAAAAAATATTTGATAAATGTGAGGGTGACGTCTTATCATCAAACAGAGATCACACTCACGATTCAAAGTAACAGGTTTTTATTCCTGGTTCATAGAAGAAAAGATAAACGGAATGAGTATGTACAAATGGATTAAATATGTTTAGGAGAGTAATCACAACACTGGTTCCAGTATGGAGATGTAAAAGTCACAGCTGACCACCTACGTGCGGTCACTTTAGATAAGTTCCAAGTCCGATCGCCTACGCGCGACAGTAAGCGTCTAGTTGTAGCTCCTTCGCGAGCGTTCTGTTAGACCGCTTCTGTCGGACTTCTCGAACCAAGTGAAGATGTGTTTACCTGGAGAGTTCCTACAGAGTAGAGATAGATAGCGACATCTGGTGCTTCGTTGAGGCACGATTCCCACATGCTCGGCCATCGACAGGCGAGGACCTCCGAAAACTGGAATACATCTGTAAGACACAAAATAAGAAAAAAAAGAAACATTTGAAAAATAGTTTGCAAAATGATCTCAAGTTGCGATGTCATCAGACCAAACCTTCATGTGGTCTGCCGAAGTGGAAGTTGCTTCAGGTCCTTTATGAGAGCCTACTTTGGATACATCGTATCGATCATGTGGCTTAATCTTGATCACTTTATAAGGTCCTAAGAATTTAGGTCTTAGCTTGAGACCGCCTCCTAACTGGGTTCTTTTAATGGCTACTAGGTTGTTGACTTTGTAGAGTGGAGCGGTTCTACGAAGTCGATTGTATTGT